TCGTGTAGGCGAGTTTTAGGGTTTTACCTTTTTTTTTTTGCAAAGCGTCAGAGTTTTCATCGAATTCGAAAGGTTTTGCTTCACGGTGAGTCGGTGACGCAACGTTATCCAAGATGTGGGCCGGTGTGCGTCAGTCGGCCCAATTAGGATCCGGCCGGTTTTGGCTCGACCCGGTTATGTATGTATGAATTCATTAGTCCGTCCGTATACATATATTTACAAAATAATAAATTAGAGTCCCAATTATTAACAATTTAACATCATTTGGCTATTTATAAACTTATATTATCATTAAATACTTTTGGCCGTGAATTAGAGGGCCAATATTTAGTGTGTTTTTTTTTAAATTAATATATATTTTTGTTTTGCTTTTCACATATTTTCATCTATCTATAAATATCCTTTCATGGTTTAAAAATTGACACTATTTGCAACTTAAATCAAATATTGGCATATAAGTCATAGAAGGAGGTTTTTAATTGTTATTTACTCTCTTTTTCCAAAAGCAGTTTGAGTATCTTCTTCACTAAAACCCATCAATCAATATGAGGATTTAATGGGAAATATATTCTCCCTTAAATTCATAAATGGTGACAAAAGGAAATAAAACAAACACGGTATTCATACACATAACAAAATAGATCCGAGGATTACAGATGGAGCCATCCTCCTATCAATCTCCCATTTTTGTCACCTAAGCCCGTTTCCTCTTACTCTAAAACGTATAAAGCTTCAACCTTTCTCCGGCCAACGTTTTCTGATCTCTTTCTTCTCCACCAGAGAGAGAGAGAGAGAGAGAGAGAGAGAGAGAGAGAGAGAGAGAGAGAACCCATTACAGGTAATTCTCTTGTGGGGATAAAAATTCTACCTTTTCCCCCTTTCCAGTTTCCATGGATTAAAGACTTCTCTTTTCCAAACGTGTGCGGCAAAAACTTGCACTGACATGCAAATTCCCGTATACACACGGATATTGTCCATCGGTCACTGTCTGCTTCTTATGTGTCTTTCGAGCGACTGTGATGTCTATTGAATCATTGGTTTCTGCTGTAACTCCATTGCTGTTTTCGCCACTTTCTTCTCGTATCTCCTTATTACCATTATTACTGGGTTTTTTCCCTCTTCCACGACTGTTGTTCTTGGATTTGAAGCGATAAAACGCCTTAACTCGTTTTCAGAATTTCAGGGGTCTTTTCCAGGTTTATGCTATGATCTTAAAATTTAAAGACGTTGTGGGTTTGCTTCAATCTCCTTATGAGTTGATGGGTTTGTTCTATCTTCATTGTTGTGGATCTTTGACCCTCTTAAATCTCATTATTGATTTTAGGTTCTGCTGTAGTTTTGTTCTGAGTTCTATGGTTTTGTTGTAAATTGCCATTTAGCTCCGTGAGTCTTGTTTCAATTTCATTTTGGACTCGAGTTCAGTGTTCATCTTCCTCTTGATCATGGCCTTGGTAGATGTGAGAAAGAAGCTCTTGTGGGCTGGATTTATGGGGCTTCTTTCTCGCTTTGCTGAATTTTGGTGTTCAGAATTATGAACTTCCGACGCATTTTTTCCTTTTCGTCGTTACACGTTTAACCAAGAATGAATGCACATTCAAAAGTCCAATTTGTTTTTTTACTATCAAAAGGGTGGCAAGCAGCTCTGGTTTCATGATTCAGTCTCTTCCATTTTCTTGTTTCTTGAGTTTATGTGGGGATCTTCCTTGTCTTCACTTGCAAAAAAGGAAGAGCAAATGATTCTTGAGATGATCTAGTAGGCCGTGACAACCTTGTATATTTTATGTTTTTAACAACAGTGATCCAAGAATGAGGGAGACAGAGCGAAGCCCTCACACTGTCAGGTCCCATGGAGTAACCGTTGCCCGGACTCATATCCTTGATTGGCTGATACTTGTTCTTCTTGTTGCTCTGGAGGCCACACTCTTGGCAATCCATCCATTTTATCGCTTTGTTGGCAAGGACATGATGACTGATCTCAAATACCCTTTAAAGAGTAATACAGTACCCTTTTGGGCTGTCCCTGTAAGTTTCCATTTCCATGGTTTGGTTTTTTCTTCCATTGTAGCTTACCTCCTTTCACTTTCACATGTGACCAGAGTTCCTTTCTCTGAAATAACAGATCTATGCAATTTTACTGCCTTTGGTGATTTTCATCGCTGTCTACTTCCGTAGAAAGGATGTCTACGATCTTCATCACGCCATACTGGGTCCGAATTTGTTACTTCCACAACGTCTTTCGTTTTAAATGTATCCCACACCACATGTTTTCTGTAGAAAAGGGTCAAGACTTTTTACTGAAATCCCATGTTTTCTTCATGTGCAGGCGTCTTTTACTCTGTTCTCGTGACAGCGATAATCACTGATGCGATCAAGAACGCAGTTGGCCGACCCCGCCCTGACTTCTTCTGGCGTTGTTTTCCCGATGGCAAAGACGTATGCCTCCATCGGTTTCTTGGCTTTTACGAGTTCAGATATCTCGTGTTTTTTGGTTGGCCCTTGACGCCTGTTTGGTTTCTCAGGCTTACGATAAACTTGGAAATGTTATATGCCATGGTGTTAAAAGTGTCATAAGGGAAGGGCACAAGAGCTTTCCTAGTGGGCACACTTCATGTAAAGAAGACCAATCTATCATATACTTTGTCTGGTCCTTAATCTTTTTACTGTTTTTGTCTGAAAGAGTCTCGATTCGGTTGTGCAGGGTCATTTGCCGGTATGGGATTCTTATCGCTCTACTTATCGGGAAAACTTCAAGCGTTTGATCGGAAAGGACACGTTGCGAAGCTATGCATAGTGCTTCTCCCTCTGCTATTCGCATCTCTTGTCGGGATTTCTCGTGTGGATGACTATTGGCATCACTGGCAAGATGTATTTGCAGGAGGTTTGCTAGGTTCGTGCCCTCTCTCTCCCTCTTCTGAATGCGAGACTCTGTTCTCAAGTGAAATTTAATCTGAAGAACTGAAGCCGGGTAATGCAGGGCTCGTAGTTTCTGTGATCTGCTATCTTCAGTTCTTCCCACCACCGCATCACGCTCAAGGTAAAAACGCAGATTTTCTTTTATACATTGATCTTCCTAATCCTGTTCCTGGTGTTCTTGGAGGAACTGAACTGAGGAACTATCTCAAGAAAGAACCTTGGACTTGTCCGAATATTGGGTTTGGTCCTGAAGTTATCAACTCGGTACACACTAATGATTTTTTGCACGTTATGGTTCGACTTTCGTCTACAGGGTGGGGGCCGTATGCTTACTTCCGAGTGTTGGAGGATGCACGAGCGCAAGTAACCAACGGTATGGGGCTCCGCCATGATCATAACCCGGGGGATAATCATGAAGAAGATGGGCACGGGTTTATGGGGATACAATTGGCGGATAACCAAGAAGACGGCCTTGAATCTGGTAGAGGTTGAGAACTGAGAAGATTACAGGAGAACAAGATTTTTTTTTTTTTCAAATATGAGTTAGTAACTCACATTTTCATCATATATATATATACACCCCAAGATCTCAATTCCAAAATTGATTTTATTGAAAGTTCATAATCAGAATGAGACTTGCTTCTCTTAAGCGAGTAGCGGTAATACATGGCTCGTCTCGTCTGTGCCCTCTAGCAACCTCTCCCTCGCCTTCATCGCCTGCAGAAAAAGATGGAGATGAAACCACAGAATGTAAAATGCGCTTCGACAAAAAAGAAACCATACATAGACACAGATGAAACTGGAAGGTGTGGTTACCTGTTTGTACCAGTTGGTGCGGGAAGTGATGAGACCGAGAAGAAGAGCTTGAAGGGCAGAGCCTGTTAATACCCCAACCCACAGCCCCTTTCCTCCCCATTTCATCACGAAACACAGAACCACTCCTATGGGGATACCCGTTAGGTAATATGCTCCTATGTTCACCACCGCTCCTAGATGCTGCCATCCTGTCCCCCTCGCCACTCCTGAAACCCCCCGACCCACTCATGGTTTAAAAACAAAAAATCTGTTTTTTCCGATTCTAAATGCGTAAAGGTTCTACCTTCTTCCTTGTTTACAACTCAAAAGTTTAGATCTTTTCCCGTATTCGTGCAAGCTTAGGTTATGGTTTAGTTCAGAGGGTATAAAAAACAGATGGAAGAAGAAGAAGTAAGAGACAGACCGGAGAAGATGGAGAGCATGCTGTCAAAGATGAAAGAGAGACATAACAATGGAGACATCCACGCACAATAATCCACGACTTCCTTCTCATTGCTATAAATGTAACCCCATATTCGGCGAAAACACATGAGAGTGACGCCGACGAAAACAGCCTCCGCTCCTGCAACAGCCACCGATGCGATCACAGCCACTCTCGCCTCCCGCGGATTTCCAGCCCCCAGTTCGTTCGAAACGCGAACGCTGCAAGAATTCACGTAGCGGATTGGTTGAGGTTGTCGAGAAAAAGTCCAAACTTGAGCGAAAACTGAATGTGAAAGTAAACCTGCAGGGAAAAAAAAAAGGATGGAGGAATTCGGAATATTGGAGAAACAGACCTTACGGATGCGCCAACTCCGTAGATGACGTAGTAATGCAGTGTAACAGTCGTGAGGCTGCAGCATCTCAAGTGGAAACATCAATCAGGTGCTTTCATGAAAGAATTAGAGATGTGGGGAAGAATTGAAATTCTGTCGGAAATAAGGGACTACTATTGAAATTATACAAAAGATAAACGAGGAGAGAGAGAGAGGGAGAGAATGTTACCAGATGGAGAGAACAGAGGTCTCGAGTTGGGAGTTGGGAAGACGCCCAGCAAGCAAAATCATGAACTCGAAAGACCACAATTCCAAGCTGTTTCAATCATCAAATCGAATTTCGGACATGCAAAATAGTCATAAACTTTTGAGAATCTTCATCACAGCCCCCTTATATACACATATATTCTTTTAGAGTCCATGATATTTCGTTATTTTGATCATACAAAGGGTTGAGAGGAGAAATGCTTACCACATCATCAAAGCCGAAGGAAGAGCGAAGCGGCAGAACTCCTTGATCTTGGACAACACATCCGACATAACAAAAGCCCTCGACTTCTCGCAAGTCGAGGACCAGTCTTTGTAGATCCATAGCAAGATCGCGTTAACCCAGTAAGCCACTCCTAGTGAAACTGCAGCTCCTACCACTCCGGCTCCCACATTGTGAACCAATACCCAACACAAACCGACGTGGAGCAAGAGAGCTGTCAAAGTCGACCAGATCATCGGGGAGATCAAGCTCTGTGACTGGAAGTACCGAATGAGAGATTCGAGAACGCCGAATCCGAACAAAGCCGGGATCAGATAGACAGTGTACTGGCAAGCAACGGCTGAGATATTTGGGTCTTGTCCGAACAAGATCAGAAGCCTGTCCATGAAGAGCCAAAGAATAGAGATGGGGATGCATATGAGGAAGAGTGAGAGCACTGAGCAGTAAGTGTAGGATCCGAGCTTTTGGTAGTGTTCTGCTCCGAACGCTTGGCCGCATAACGTTTCCAGCGCACCTGCCATCCCGAACTTCAACAACAAACCCAAAAAAAAACAAAAAGAACACGAGAATATGATCGGATGAGATAAATACATAATCATCATCAAATATCTTCAATACCGACCCATGATGGCATGGCGGCGAGTCACTTTCGTTGTTTGATTCGCATAACTTATGAGAGGTTGACAAAGTTAAGATCTTTGGGATTCAAGAATCCAACCCAGAAAGACAGATAAAAGAACATCATAAGAGATCAATCGATGGGATTATGTTCGAAGAGCACTACATCTCATTCAAAGCGGCTTTGGTGTTTGAGAAAAAAAAGAAGAGGAGGAAACTGTGGTGACCCAATATTTGACATGACTGTACCGTGGCATACTATTTCAAAAGAATTTTGTTTCCTTACTAAACATTTTTTTTCCACGTCATGATTAGGAATATCTAATGTAATATTTTGTTTTGTAAAAAAGAGGCTTCATATTAGCTTAGTCTTTTAAACTAACAAAATAAAAAAAAAATTAGGCAGGTGAACCCCAAAACTATAATAAAAATCAATATAAGCATAATTATAAAACTTTAATAATAGAGTTTCAAAAATAAAACCTTATAATTTAATAGTTTTCCAATATTGCTTATATTATTATTTTTCTGATTATATTATTATTTTAATCAGATTCTTGTCACTAAAGTCTGACAAGAAAAAAAGGAAAAGGATTCTTGTATTAAAAAAAACATAAATGTTTTAGAATATTACAAATCGGTACGATAATTTTGAAAGAACAAAAAGTAACCTAGATTTTGGGGGGAAAGGTTATGATCCCCAAATATAAAACAGTAATACAAATCGCATCGATTAGAAGATAACTTTCGGTTTCGATTTCGATCTCAGATGATTAATTTTTAAAAATAATAATAATTTTGGGAGAGGTACGATGATTTACCAGGACATTGAAGCCGGTGACATTGGCCAATGAAGAGGCGACGGAGACGCCGGAGAGAGCGAGCTCGCCGAGATGCCCGACCATCGACATGGAAACGACCTGCATCAAATACTGCGACACCGTCGCGGCCACCATCGGAGCCGCGATCTCCGCCATCTTCTTCAGCTCCGCCGTGAACTCTCGCCGTGTCAGCGCGCACCTCCTCCATCCTCCTCCGAACTCTTCGCTTGCTCCGGCCACGGCGGACGATATCTCCGGCGAGATCTTATGCTGCAGAAGCGCTTCCTCCATTTCCTACTCGCTTCTCCTCTATCTCTTTTGTGTGTGTGTGTATAATCGTGTTATTGTGAGGAAATACATAAACGAAAACAAGGGTCTGAATTCTGAAAGATGAATGATCCAGCCGCTTTATATGCACATTGTTTTCCAATCGATTTTCCACGTAAAATCTGTCATTTCCTTCATTATTTATTTATTTATTCAATATGAAATACTCTCTCCATTTATTGAGTCGAAAACAAATATATTACAATCCATTACGAAATATTCTCTTCATCTAATGGGTGGAAAACAAATATATTTCAATCCACAAAAAAATTTTTAAAAAAATGTATCTTATTTTTTAATTCAATTATATGTGATCTATACATTTCATTATTTAGAACCCAATAAAGGGGCCTACTTTTATATTGAATAAGGATGACTTTTTTGTTGCCAAAATTATTTATATATTTTAGATTTTTTAAAAAAATTATGGTTTTCATCGTATGCCGCTGTCAACCGCAGATGGAGCGATTGTTGTTTCTAGTAGACGTGGACAATTGAAAAATTGATTGGTAAAATCATAATCAACCGCAATCACAACAAAACATAAAATTTCTAATCGTAATTTTACACTCGTATTTTGATAACATTTTGTGGCGTTTAATAAAAATGAACAAAATATCTTTTAAAAAATATTTTTAATAACAAAATTACTTAAAAAAAAACCCGACACTTGCTCATTGCCCATTTGGATTGCAACAATGTTTTCTTATAATAATAAAACTTCGTGCATTTTATAAGCTATAAGATTCACTAATTTGACAAATGTTATTTTTTTCTCTTCTTATTGGTGCATCAATTTGTAGTTTGTGTCTATTTCTTGTCTCGACGGTCGAAGAAGATATAATTACAAGTAGTATGGTTGGTGATGAACATGAATGGAGTTTGATAGGCATTTAGCATTTTTTTTTTCATTTTGTTTATATGATTTTAATATTTTGTATTGATATGTTTATTTCAAAAGATTTGATACTATTTGTGTGCAAGAGTTTAACCTAACATTCATCATGCATATTCCATATTCCTCCATAAGAAAATCAAATCGATGAATTTCAGATATTGGTAAGAACTACAGAGATACGAAGTCGTTTTATACTGTATATAATATAAGATTGAAAAAATAAATAAAAATTTAACGTTCATGTATAGATGATGACCATTAATTTGTTTTTTTTTTTTTGGTTGGGTGAAGGATGATGACCATATGTTAAATGTGTGTAACTGTAGGAACATTGTATAGCATTGTGTGTGTTTTGGAATATGGCTAAAAATACAAAGAGAGAATAAAATGGTCCAACCCATTTTTGTGGCGGAGGGTCGTGTTAAATAATTTTCCCGATTAAATTTCTGACCGATCCACATTTATCACGTTGGAGGGAGCATGCGCGATTGCTTGCCTTGTTCGAATTAGTCTCTGTCGCGTCGAGGTTGTTGCTGTTGTGGGCACGACAAAGACCACTTTTTTTTTTTTATAAAAAAAAATCTATGTATATGTCATCAAGTTTTCGAACCGATGATTCTTTTTAATCGGTTGTAGCCTGTTGTGTGTTTTGTATTGTTTTTAATTACATGTGGATTACTGAAAATGTTAATGGTTACGTCGGTGTTATTATTATAATAATTATTATTATTATAATTATTACATGGTTCGTCAATTACTTGTTATGGTTTTGTTTGGATCCTCAAACCCATTTCGAGTTTCGGTTCGGTTATTTTAGTTATATTAAACTATAACCATTCGATTTTTATATAAATTTTCGTTTAATCCGTTTTGGATTCGATTTTTGTTGTTGTTGTAACAAACTTATTTTTTTAAAAAATTATCGATTTTTCCGGTTATTTTTTTAATCAGTTCGGTTTCAGTTTTTTCAGATTTAAAAATTATAACCGTTCGATTTTTTATATCGGATTCGGTTCGACTACAGTTATATCTTATTTGATTCGATTGGATTCGACTATTGGTTAATAACAAAAATGATAAACCCTATATCCATGCATTTCTTATGTTGATGCCAATGAAAACGAAAGGTTCATGAACCATTCTATTCCCTTTCGGCCTTCACAACCTGTAATTTTCTATAATCACTAGGGATGACCATTTCGGATTTCGATTCGATTTTCGGTTCGGTTATTTCGGTTTTAAAAAATATCCAAACGGTTATATAGATTTAATCGGTTCAATTCAGTTTTTGCATAATAAAATTATAACCAAACGGTTAAATTTTTCGGTTTATTCGATTCGGTCATGACATATTTTTTAAAAAAAGAATATTAATACTACACAAACTTCAAAATATCTATCCAAATAAATCCATAAAATGATTAATCCTCCAAAAAAGTTACAAAAAAAACTACAAAAAATTCAATAACTAGATAAAAGTTAGAAACATTAAATTTTATGGTTTAATAGGTGAAACACGTAAGGATAAAAAAGAACTAAAAAAAATAACACTAATAATGATAAAGATAAAAGTTAAAAGATTATAAAAATCCAATTAACCATTCCGTTAATCGCGGTTATTCGGTTATTACTCGAATCGAATCGAATTTAGACGGTTATTTAACTTTTTCAACCGTTCTGTTATTAAGCAAATAACCGAACCGTTCTTATTCGATTCAGTTCGATTCGATTATCGGTTAATAACCGAAACGACCACCTCTCGCTAAACCACCGTGTCAGAGTCGAGAGATGACGAGGGCAGGGAGTGGGCTGGAATGGAGTGGAGTGACTGGCCAGCCGAAACCCTCTGAATCGTTCAGCGGCTCCTAGATATTGTCAATTAAATAATTAATCAATCTTTTGTTTTAGCCATTAATCAAACACGTTGGGACTTGGGGGCGTCAAAATCGTGTGGTTATGACTTTTTTTACTTAATTACTGTTTTTTGTTTGGTGCCCTTGACCGTATTAATTGCCCCCCAATACCTGATTTATTTTCCAACTTGTATTTACTTTCTTCCCGAAAAAGAAAATTGTGGGGAGGGTCGTGGCAGCGACGTAATTACCGAGAAAAATAGGGGTATTATTTAGGATAGAATGGATTGCCTCTGCTCGGTTATCACGCCCCGAGTTCTAAAATTCCCCCCACCGCTCTT